CTTAAAATGAGCCGTCAGGACTTCTGTGACTTTGTGATGTCACAACAAAGCAGTCACTGCTCTCAGCCATGCCCCAAGCCCCACCCACCTGGACCTACCGTCCAACCTCGCAGGAGTGTTTACCTGAAATCTGCTATATTTTTATTCGATCACTCAGAAAACAGTCAGCCAATCAGAAACGAGGCTCTCTTCCTATTGGCTCATCAATGTGTTGTTGCTAGATGGTTTTTGGTGTTTAAAACCACAAATATATCTTCGTATGGATCAAAACTTCAAATAAAACATTGTAAGATATGGGACCTTTAATAACTTTGCATTGTGACAGTCACATTGCCACAATAAGGTCTGATGGGTCAAGGAGCTTTATTTGGAAGTAAAACTGAAACTGAGCGTACCCGGAATGTTGATGATAATCAGTAAGTAATAAATCTGCCCACAAGGACAGAAGGTCATTGATGAATCAGGACTTCAGTCTGTGAAGTTAGATGGTTGCTTGCAACAGATGATTTATGTAATAATTTCACTGCTTCCTTCTGTTTTCTCTTCCAATTAAGTCCGGCTACACTGGGTTTAGTGTGGTGTAAAACTTGTCTTATTGTCTAACTGCTCGTGCTTCTTGACCTATTCTTAGCAACGTTGCCACATTATCACCATCATTAATCTGAGTAATTAACTTGGTGCCAACAGAAACGAAGGCCAATATTACAAATAAGACCCAAGTTGAAAGAAACCACACTTAAACTCCCTTTAAGTCTCACTCCTTCTTTTTCTTTTTGACTCCACTCTCATACAGTACAAATGTAAAGAGGCAGGCATTTTGTCATAGCCACCGGGGCTACATGTGGCACCATAGCATTCTTAACTGGCCGTGACACTTTTTGACGAAGCAAAATAAAGCTTGAGCTGACTTACTCCTGGTCGTGGTCTCTTGTCAAGAGAATTATCAGGGCAAGGAGCTGTACTAGGCTTCCAGGGTATGACAAATGTGGTCAAGGGGTGAACGCTCCTTAGGGACGACGGGGCCCTCCATACAGTGAAAGCATTAGCTTTCCACAGTGACATTATGAAGAAATCCATTGAAAAGGCCGGCTTCCCAGTGCTGGGGGACGCGAGGTAGAAAGCTTCATGAGTCTACCCAAGAGACTGACTGGTATTTTCAACCACGCTGAAGCCTAGAGCAAATCAATAGCTCAAAGTCCCACATGCTCCTCACCAGCGTCAATTAAGTAAATTCATAAAGTCGAGTGTGCTGGGAGTTGGGGGGAGGGAAACAAAAAAGGGAAATACTAGAGAGAGGGGGAGAGAAAGCAGGGGAAAAAAATCATCCAGTCATCTTGCAAATTTGGATAGGAAACAGCGCTTCTGCCATGAGAGTTGCAGCTTAGAGAAAGTAGAGTATGGTGGTCTGAGACTATTTCTCTACGGGTGTTATTAAGAAGCCTGACAGTCCATCTCACTTTCACCTGCCTCCATCAGCACACGCACTGTTGACCCGGGAGTCTTTCCCCCACCCCTCCCCGTGCTGAGCCAGGCAGAGGACACATGCAAAGTGACTGGCTTTCAGCGAAAAGCCCAGCGATAATGCATATCAGCTCGGGGCCTATGCAAGCAAAGTAGGCAGAGACAGGGGGATGGGGATGGGATGTGGAGGCAGGAGGGGGAGGGCAGAGGGGGGAGTGCTATAAACTGCAACGCACGAGGGAAAAGAGAAAGAGGGGACCTAACCCCGATGCTTCAACCGCTCGCAATTTGCCTCCATAAGGGGAAAGCAGGGCATGCCTTGGCTGCCACTGGAAGACAGGTAGCGTAATGGATGGGCCAGTCTCACAGCCTGACTGCTGACACTGCTCTGACAGGACGTTCCTACCTCTCCTTCACTCCCTCTCTCTCTCTCTCTCTATTTGACGTCATCGTGTTTGCTCTCTCTCTCTCTCTCTGTCCCCCCTGTTTGCCCCCAAGTGTCATCACGCTAACTACATCCGATATCAAAAACTTTTTAGCAAGTGTTTCAGCATGCTGAAATTCCACCTCACCATCACATCCAGAGGGTGTAAACGAACGCTGGGGTTGGAATTTGTTTAAAGAAGTTCATGAAGACAATTTGACGTCATCGTGTTTGCTCAGAAAGCCATCCAGCATCCTGCAATGCAGTGCACAGACCTGCCATCCTCTGCACAGATCAAACACAAGCAGCCTGAACAGCTGAGGTGGCTCCTTTTATTTTGAAAGACCCAGATTATCTGTAGTCAACCTGGACCTTGTACAAAGGTAAACAATGACATGATGAAAAAGAGTCAGTCGATGAATTGATTAGATGTTAGCTGTAGATAGAAAATGAATCGACAGTTGTTGTTTTGTTTATATCACATTCTCTTTTTTCAGCTTCTCGGACTGAAGAATTCGTGAGGACTATGACGTGCGTAGCTACAACACAGCGTTGCTGATAAAAGAATAGTTCGCTGTCAAAAAAGCGTCTTTACATGACATTGGAGTCTGTGCCCTCGGTGCACTCTGGGATGGCTTTGTCGGAGGGAAAGTAAACAAGATAGTCAAACTGTCTTTATGAGCCAGTGGAACAGACAGAGGCAAATAACTGAAAACACACTGACTATCAAACTCTCCATTATGTTTTGAACCGAATCCTGTCTTTACCGCAAGTGGCTTGACAGACGGGCGCAGGAGTGAAATATGCAGCTACTGTATTTTTGTTTTATCGAGCCAACAAAGACACAGAGTCGACATCAAAACCCCCCGCAACAAAAGTTGCTACAAAGCTGTCCCAGTCGATGTGGTGAGACATCTGTTTGTGTAAAGCTCAGCGGTTGTTCCATGACACCGCTTGATGGTGTTTCTTTATTTCTGTTGTATCAGTTTTTCAGATACTAAACTTAGCGCTAGTTTCTGAGACAGAGTTGCGGTATTGTGACAGCTTCCACTGCCGCCTCTGCTCCCCTCAGCCGCCACCTGTCCTCTCACCCCTCTTCTCTCGCTCCATTTCCCTCCTCACTCCCTTCAGCCTGTCTGGCTGCACTTCTGCATGCAGGCCAGGATACTTAATTCATGTCCGGAGACATCGTTTCCTCATTCCCTGACACACTGTGTGAGGGAAGCCGCCCGGACCTGCCATGCATTGGGGCTAGACTGCGCTCCCCTCTCTCTCCCCCTGATGCCCCCACCCTTTTTCCCATGCCTTCTGAGAACGTGCGATACGGAGGAACGTTGCAGACGCTCCCCAGCGGACCCGCTGATAACCCTCCTACCAAACCCCCAGCCGAGGAACACTGGCAGCCTGGATATCGCCCAGACTGTGAGGAATAATGAGAACAAAAGCAGAATACACGGCCTTCTTTCTCTTTCTGCCTGCCCCTCCTCCTCCTCCACCTCCGTCCTGCGTTGTTCCTCTTGTTCCGTTTCCTTCTCACATTTGCCAGCGCTTTCTGCTTTGGCCTTCGGAGGAAGATGGACAGAGACGGAAGGAAAAGGAAGGGGTGGGAGAAATGATTGAGAGTCGGAGAGCCAAGATATTCTGCTGCCCACATCAGGGCCCTTCTCTGTGGTTTGCAAACAGTCATTTTGTTCAGTATCTTTACACTGATCTTAAGGTAATAAACTGGGGTTGACATTGCCCAGGGTCTCCATTGGCATTCTGCTGGGTCTGATAACAAAGTGTGCCGAAACAGATTGTTTAAAAAGATAGAACAGGCCGCTCCACATAGAGCCGTGCACTCTATTAGATGTTGATTCAGGGGCTTAATGGAGATAAAATAGCTCTACATGTGCTGTACAAGATGTAAGTCTATACATTGATGTGTAAAAAATTCTAATCTGATATTTATCAGGTTAGGCAGCACTCAGCCTGCCAATCAGTCAGATGACTGACATTCAACATACAGCATGTATGTGCACATGAATTTATATCAGGGCTTGTGTGGGTATGAAGTGTGTGTGTGTGTGTGACAGAGAAATCAATCACATGCAGAGCTGTGTTACAGATTTCAACCCTACTGTCCACATTGCTTTTATCATTTTGTGCTTTTGTTTGACCTGAAGTTGATTAATCAAAATCTTTTTCCTTGAGTATTTCGATGTTAATGAACAGGTTTCGTGAGGATGGGTTTGTATGGGAACAGAGCCTCGACTAATGATTATTTTTTTCATTATCAATTTGTCTCTCATGATCATTTTTTGGTTGAACTCTTTGCTTTTTAAAAGAATGTCAAGGTGATGCGATACGGAGGATGCAATGTGTTTAAACTGCTTGTTTTCTATTACTCCCAAAATGAAAATTCTTGAATTTATAATGACATAAAACAGAAAAAAGCTGAAAATCGTCACGTTTCAGAAGATGAATCCAAGCGAATTTTTGTCACATTTTTGATAAGTGACTCTGCTAACAATTATTTCAGTACTTTATTTGAACTCAGTTTGGGGCTAAAATGTTTAAAGGAAGTAGGAAATGAAAAACTTCAGTAAGAGACCAAAACTGATAGCAAGACATCCAAACCTGAGGGAAAAAGGTCTGTCAATAAAAAGAGTAAACAAGAAATCTGAAGGCTGCAAGCAAAGTTATTTGAGGGATCATAAAAGAGATGAATAAGATTCAGTCAGGCTGTCCTACATTAAAATCAGAAAAGGGTAAAGAAAATGTTTAGTATTCTGTAATATTTATTCTTCCTGTACAGTGTTGTTTTTGACTTGACTTTAATGTTTATGATTTCAGACCTTTTGGCCGTAAATTAAATTAACATACATCTTTATCTTTATTGATTTTTGAGAAGCGTCTGGAGGCGTCTTGTTTTTTTTATTACTCGGGTCTTTTCACTCTCCATCTGCACTTGGACTTGCCTGAGTTTCAACTCTACTGCATCTTCAAAAAGCTCTGAACTCCACTGAATTCGTCTTGACTACAGGTTGTGAAACAAGACGAGAGCTTGTGCAGTAACAAATTGCTGCCTCCCCTCCCAGTATTGACTCTCTGTTTTTCTGTGTAAATGTTCCAGGTGCTGGTTGCCACCCTATGTGAGTCTGGGGAGCCGTTCCTGCTTCAGTAGATTACAGCATGAGGACTGATCCGATACTCTGACCAAAGACCACTGGACACAGACCACTGAGGGGGGGGGGTGGAAGACAGAAGGCTGTGGTGGTGTGGCCATGGATAGAAGGAAAGTTTGCGTATTGATGGTGCTGTGGGCCATGGCCCACCTCAGCTCTCCAGGGTACGGGCTCAGGGCCCTGCGAAGGACTACAGGGGTGCGGAGGGGGTCCGCAGGACTGTCAGGGGAGGACGCCAACGGAGTGCCACTCAGGCGCTCCAAACGAGGTTGGATGTGGAACCAGTTCTTTTTGTTGGAGGAGTACACCGGGACAGACCTGCAGTATGTCGGAAAGGTAGTTTAAGCATCTACTTTCTTTGCTTTTCCACTGCCACGAGTCCACAGCTGCTGTGTTACACTACAACCTGTTCTTGACTTATCACAGCAGCCTCATGTGACGATCACAGATGAGTCCAGCTCAGGCCAGATCACTGGATCCACAAAACATGATTATTACACATAGGTTTAACAAAACAACACACAACATGAAAATATTCACATTGGTTAGCCTGCACAGATTTCTCTGTGTGTAAGCCAGATAAGTTTGCAGAACTTAACACACTCATTTTGAACTCGTATGTTGAAAATGAATGACATTTAGCCACAGTATAGTATCTTAACAAGGACAGGATTTTTTCCTTAACACTTTTTGTGCTAAATTAAAATGTGACCGTTGCATATTAAGAGCAAATGAAACACAAAAAAACTGCATCAAAATTTGGCATTGAACGCCTGGTCAGATTTGTAACCTTGTTTATTAATTCTTTGATTAGATTGTTCCTGATTTGAATCAAAATGCCAGTGTTGCACTTTCATGTACAGAGCCCTGGCAAAGCTGCCCATGCGTCTGCACAGTTTAACATTTGAGAACTGGAATAATGTTCAAACCCACATAGACATGCAGACAGAATGTTTTTGCTCCTTGCTCCTTTTAGTTTTTTAAACAAAAAATGATGAAGGAGTTGGTGTGGGTTGGAGTTTGTCTATATTTGGAAGTTGTAGAATAAAATCTGATGTAAATCATCTATTTAAACTACTTCTAACGTATCTCTACAACAACTAGAACCGGTGTTTGCTAAAGTTAGATAATACATAACATTTTATCAAGTCAACATTGTAAATCAAAGGGTGCGCTATCAGCTAGCTAACAATACTTAGCTTAACTGTAATTTAAGGCAGAGATTAGAAACTAGCTAATGTTATTGCTCATCTGGGGATACAGTCTGATTTGGAAACTCAGAAGGTTAAGAAAGTAAAGTGTATTAAACAAGCTAGATAGTTAGCTACTGCTTGGGTCTCAACTTGCTCACGAGATTTGAGGACGTTAGCCGCAAATGGGAGTGATGTAGACAGACAAGATGTGCAGCTAACGTCAAGGTTTAGAAATGGTATGATCCACTTCAGGGGTGTCTGAAATCGTAGTACAAATCCAGGCATGAAAATGGGAAATATATTGTTATATTTACAATTACAGGTAAGTAGGATAAACCTCTTTTGAGGGGGGGTTCAAATCTTAATCAGGGTGTCAGATCCCCCCAAATCTCCCCACAATTACAAACCGGATTACTCCCCTGTTGCATGCAAGAGTTAATTTGTTTTAATTTGTACTTCCTTTAACTAACATTGCACTGGTAGAAATGTCTTTCTGTTTATATTCTGGACTGTGAATTGTCACTTTTTCTGACCCATCCAAACTTGCAGTTTTCAGAGGAGCTTAGATCTGTTAAAGGAGCTTAGCCCGTCTCCTAACTCCCTCAGAATTTAAACTCTTTCCCTTTTTCAATTCCTGCAGCGGTTTGTTCAGAACGAAAGTGCCCAGTAGTTGCTGTGAGCAGCCATAACCGCCCACTAAAGCTGAACAGAGAAAGAGAAAGGGGCACCATACTCTAAACTCCATCATTAGAGAGCTCAGGGTGACTGGCTGCACTGTTGAACTGATAAGTGGTCTCTAAGAAGTGAAGACACCACACAGATGGCATCACTTTAACAACAAAAGATGGAGCAACAACTTCCATCTCGCAAATTATAACTTTAAACTCAAAAAATTGCCTTCGGCCACTGTGCATCCAATCTACAGCTGTCCGACTCCTTGACACTCTCTCTCCCTATTTGGGTTTTTTTCTCTCAATTTGTTTATTCTTCTGGTATTATTTTTTTGTTGTTGTTTCTTTTGGTTTCCAGGAAGCCACTGTCAACACAACACAACTTGAACTTTTTGCATGCCGACATTTGAAAAGTTGCTATTTTTTGTTCATTTAAAAATGTCTCATTATGTACTGTCTTGTCAATACATATTTATGAAGACAGTTTTCTGCTATTTTTTTTCTTCTTTTAAATCCTTCCCATCCATCAAACCAAACAAATGCAAATTTCACCAGATACTGCTTCATTTGCATATTACAGTCATACACACACCAAAAAAAAAAAAAAATCTGAAAGTTAAGTTTCTATAAGAGAAGGGAAGAACCTAACTACCTGTTGTGACTTTACTTAGTAGCATATTGGATTTGTAGATAACGTAACCTCGACAAACTCTACACGCAAAGGAAAATATCTCTTAATGAGATGCTTCAAAAGAAATAAAATGCTGTATTGAGAGAATGATAATTGTCCCATCATCTGATGGCAGACATGACATGAGACTCCAATCGTCTAATGCTCTTATATCGGACTTCCATCCATCCATCCGTCCGTCTTCAGGCTTTGTTTTTTCTGTTGCCTGTCCAATGTATTTTGTGCTTACTGTCAGCTCTGTGGCTGCCTGCACAATGTCCATTCCACTCACATCAAGCCATCCTAAAGCAGCCGTCCTGCCCTACAGTAAAATATGACTTCCTCCGAAGGTATTATTTGTTCAACAAAATGAAAACACAGTGTCGACCCAGATAACACTGGGGAACGTACACGAAGACGGGCCAAATAATGCTTGCTTTACATGCAGCAGAGCGGAAGTCAAGATATCAGTCTCCTCTTCCAACCTACTGTAATTGAGGAGATTGTGAAGCGTCGTGGCAAGGTCAGGATGACTGAGGAGGAAGAAAGACTGTTTTGTGCGAGGAGTTGAATGGGGCCAGTGCTTTGCATTCCTATCATGTGTCCACGGAGGATAGAGTCATCCAACCAAATGAGATTCTGCAACATACGTCCTCCCGGAGTGAGGGTTGACTTTCAGCCCTGGTCTAAAAGGATTACATAGCTCTCTATGGTACAAGGCGAGCAAATACGAGAAAGAACAAAAAAAAAAAAAAAGAAAAGAAAAGCTGAAAAGAACAAAAAAAACACAAAAAAAACAGAATGAATGAAGATCAAAAGTAAGTACCAAGCACGATCAAACCACTTTGTCTTTAGAGAGTGGTGATTGATGTGCCACTCGTCCTTTTAGGTTGTAAAAGGACTAATAGCAAAAGAAGAATGGATTATCTGAGTGCAGTGTACACTTAGAAAACCAGGGGCTGCAGCCTAAGAGCCCGTCTCCTGAAGACGCCATTAAGGCATCAACCTTCGAGTACCACACTTAATCATGACTCTGAGCGCTTGTTGTTTCCCCAAAGTACATGCAGCTGGGTGCTTTCCCTCATTGTCGGCTCACTAGCCGGTTGTCACATAGGACTGCAGTACGTAGATCTTATCTGATTGCAATTACTGTTTGTTAATTGCTAGATAAAGTACAAGTGATGAATTAGGCCCTAAAGGGAATGAATAGCTTTTGAGTTGAACACATGGCTCAACATAGAGAACAACCATCTGCATCTGTATCCTCAGGTGGAGGCCATATTTTCACAATGCAGTGGGCCTGAAAGAAGAAGAAGAAGAAGAAGAAAAAAACAACTGAGAAACACAAAAGAGAGGGTCTTTTTTTGTCATTGCTAGTGACATCATAGCAACCAGTGAGCACAGCATGGAACAAAACCACTTTTGTTTGTGCTGAAAAAAAAATGAATTGGAAATAACACAATGGCATCTTATTATAAACAAGGGAGCAGCTCTTGACACACAGAATAAGATAGAATGATGAAACTGCACTTGAATTACAACATCCTGTCTCCAGCTATTTGGTAAACTCACTCTCTCCCAGTTGCTTTTTTTTTTTCTTTTTTTTTTACGACGGCTTTATCGAGTTGTGAAGAGCTAACAAATCAAATTGCAATCTTTCCTGAACAAGTGTAACAAAAGCAGTTGGAACAGGAAGGAATTAAGAGAAGCGATCGAGACGAGAGGGAAAAGGAGACACTGGCAGTTTCTTGTTGGGGAGCTGGTTGGCTGCTAATCTTGCTAATCTTGCTGTATTGGCCAATGATTTTTTTTTTCCTTTTTTTTTTTTTCTTTTCCTGCAGGAAGGGAATTGTACACAGCCTCTCATTAGCAGGCAAGCTGCATACAGGCCTCGGAGGGCCTGGGCTGTCACTGGGGGAAGAGAATGTTTGTTTATTTCATTATTTCTTACTTTACCAAAGGGCACATATCCACAGAAAATGGTTAATGGCCTGTGGTTGAGGAGTGTTTGTGCTGCACTATCATATCTCATAAAGTATTTACAGCCCCTGATAGGCCCCAGTGGTTCTGGGCCTGGTGGGTAGACTCCTCAACATAGTCCCTAGCAAGTGAGCAGTGTTCTCTCTATACGAACAAACACACCAGTGTGCACGCAAACACACACGCCTGCAAACACTAGCCTCCAGTAATGGGCTGGAAATCAGAAGAAAGAAAAAAAAAAAGGCAGATGAACACAGACATAATATGCTTCCCAGTCCTGTACGACTCAGCGGCTGAGGCATCCTGGGGGAAAGACTCGAGCATCTTATGGCAGTGGAGTGGAAAGGTGCAGGGTTTTGTGTGTTTGTTTGTGGGGGGTGGGGTGATTTTTGGTCTCCGTTCATGCTCCCCCATTACCAGCTGCTCACCTTGGCAGAAAGGCAAGGAGTTTGCAATATGGCGCAGGCCTGGCTGTACCCGCGCCATGGCAACCCCTGCGGTCCCCAGCGGCGACCTGGAGCACACATCGGCCGTGTTTGTTGATTAGGCAATAAGTTCCCGCTTGTGCACTGGGAGGGGGCGACTTCAATTATGCTCCCCTCCTTCGCAGCTTGAGCGGCGGAGGAAAGGGTGTGATGAGGTCATGTGGCGACGAGGCCCGGCAAACATCTGTCTGACAGCGTTGCAGGGGCGAAGCGATGTCTGAGCGAGATACGGCACACACCGCCACGGCACCTTGCGATTGTCTCAATGCCGTCACCCGCCTGCTACTGTTTCAGACACCTGTTGGTTTTGTCAGGGTGAGATTAATTGATTTTCTATCATCAGACCTTCAGGCTTTTCTTCTGCATTTCAGTATATAGTTGGCCAAGTTGTTTTCAAATGAGGGGGGAGTGGATATGACAGTGAAGCAGGGCTGTAGCCAGGATTTTAGAGGTCAGGAGTCCAAGTTCCCCCAAGCTCCACCCGTAATGAATTTCTTACAAAAAACAAACAAAAAAAAAAGTAATTTTCATACAATTATAAAATGTTCTTTTTCATATTTTCTGTGCTTCTCTTCAGCCGATGTAATGGTCTAAATGTTGTTTCAAAGCCTTTTATTTAATCTCAATTTATTTTGTTTATTTATTTTTCGTCCATGTAATTAAGTAATTTCTTCATAAAGTAAGCAAGTTCAAAAATCTTCCAATGCAAGAATAATATTTCAACTTGTAGATTTAAACAAATAATTTTCCAGAAGTTATTGTCTGTATTGAAAACAAAAGAGGAAAGATGCAGTTTGCTGCATTAGAGTCAAGATAACTTCAACTTGAGTTTAGAAAATACAGGTTGAAATATTCTTTCTACACTGGCAGTTTCTTTTTTTTTTACAATTAAAAAAAAAAACAAAAAACAAAATGACAAAAATTACTTATTAAAAATCTACCTTAAATAAGACATCAAATGTAACTGGTGTGTAACTGTGGGTTGTAAACAACATCTCAGGTTGTTAAAACCCCCCTAAATCCTCTGAAACAACAGTGAGGACGTGACCTCAGTGTCCTGATTTGTAGCCTCGGCCCTGTAGCAAAGTAAATATAAACTCTAGAGAATTGTCCATAATTAAAGGAAACCATGCTGTAAATTATGCATGGGACACGGAACAAAAGATGTCCACAAGAGAGAAATGTATGTTGCTGACATTTCACCTTTAAGTCTCTGCAGCTCTTGACCGCATGTCTCAACTTTACACATCATCAGACATTTGATAGGCTATTTTTGTGCACAGTCTGAGGCTACCATCTGGCTACATAGAAGGCAGCCAGTTCTCGACAGGCCAGGACACAAGGCCTTAAAGGCTAACTGGCTAATTGCCCTAAGCAGCCCATTTCCAGTGCCATCTTTTTGGCCTAACTTGAGTGAAGCACAAATGGCGGCCAGATCGAGCCTGCACTAACATTTGCTGCACTTGAAGCTGATTAATTTCCCAAACAAAGACAGCACGCTTATAAGTTCTCACGCACAGATGTCTGACGAGTACCACTTCACTTCTCAGCCCACTTCAGACTGGAAGATGAAGCACATAGGGAAAGAAATAAATATCTTCCACTGTGAAAAAGTGCCAACCATCGGAAATATTATGGCATCACTTAGCAGAGAAGGCTAATTGAGTGGAAGGTTTTGAAATATATAGCATGTCATTGATGGTATAATGGTTTACGTAAATGCTTGATAGTTTGCTTCACAGCTGATTCACAGAAAAGGAATCTGTCTCTCAAGTCATTTATGTCTGTAATTGAGAAAAAAGCCTTATTTTCTCAGAGTATGGGAGAATATTTCAACCTTTCCAAATCAACTTGTTTCAAGTTTTCTCTGAAATTAAGTCTCATTTTTCTTCATTTGAGTAGCAACTTTCCTGACTCTTTTTTTCTCTCATGATCCAGATACTAATCTTTTTAAGAAAATGACTGAAACAGAAACAGGTTGAAATAGTTACTTGTTTTAAAGAATAGGGAAGAGTTAGATGAGAAGATCGACACCACTCTGGTGTCTGTGTCGTAAATATACCTACCAGCACCCTGTAATCAGTTTGTTCCGCACTAAAACAACTTCTGGGCTAAGCTTAGCTAACCGGCTGCTGATTGTGGCCTTGTATTTTCCAGACAGACATGAAAGTGATATCAATCTTCTCATCTTACTCACTGCGAGAAATTAAATATTTCCCTAAATGTCAGTCTATTCCTTTAGGAAATTGTGGCCTCTATTGCAGACAGAATAATTGGATAATATGGAGGTTTTTTTTCTAGTGTCCTCCTCTTTCTTGAAAAGACCAAAAGTCCCAGTGTTAATGGATATAGCGTCATGCTCTCTGCCTTTTTTACGATTCGGTACCATAGGAGGTTAGAGGAAAAAAGCCTAGCTATCGATGTGCCCGGGCTTCTTGGTGACCATACTGAATGCACATGTGGCTTTCTTTTCTCACCCTGTGACAGTTTAATTGTATTTTCGATATAAATTGATCAAAGGGCCATTGTGAATGCACGTTGGGCTGCCACATTGATTTCCGGGAGAGGTTTTTTTTTTTTTTTTTTTTCCCCTCTTAATTTGAGTAGAAGGGCAGCAGTAAATTCTCCTCACCAGCAAGGTGGGCAACTGGGAGGGACAGGGTCACTGCAGCAGCCGCCGGAGTTCGATACTCTGAGCTGCCTTGTAATATCCTTCAGGGGTGCAAAGAGGAACTCTTCAGAACCACAAGATCTCTCTGTTTCCATAGAAATGACAGTAGACACAGCGTATGTCACACTGTCTATCTCCCATCTCAGCCGAAAGGAGAGGAGTTATTAACTGAATTGTCGTGCCGGCAGAGATAGGCAGCTTGATAGACAATCATAGAAAAGGACATTGCAGCTATAACAGCAGGAGGAAGATAATAATTTTGAAGTGGATTGTTTTCAGCCAGAGTCTCTATTTGGAAGCATGTACTGTAAAGCAGAACAGAAAACAAATAAAATTCTGCAAGATTCTCCTGGCTTGGTTAGACAGGGAGAATTAAAAAAAAAAAACAAAAAAAAAAAAAAAGTTGTTTTGACCAGAATTCAAGTGGGTGAATGAAACAGTGCTCCACTCTAGATCCTAATCCGAAGATGCTAAAATTCTGCAACACACTCGACTGGCTCTGTTAGACAGAGAAAGGAATGAAAACAGTCATTTTTACCAGCATTCAAGCAGGCGAACAAAATAGTGTTAAAGATGCTAATCCACAAAGCTGTTCATCTCACACGTGCCAGCTTTGCCCTGATAAAACAGCATGAATTAGTAAAGCTTCCGAGCACCTGGGATGAAAAGCTTTTTAATATATGATGAGAAGGGGAGATTTTGCAATGTGCTCCCACGTGACCCAGCTGCAACGCACAATATCCCCCTTCAGTCTGTCCACCGGCAGAGCCAAGAACGCTTGTAGACACAACAAAAAGAGAGAGAAAAAAAACAAACTCCGGCTCAAGAGGAAAATATGCATTCAAACCATCAAAATCAAATGTTGCCGGCTCAGCTGAGTTAACGAGGTGTCAGTAACAGAGCTCAGAATAACGTCTTAGCGCCCACTTATCGGGGGGAAACATTTCGATGGCATTTGCTTCATTTTGTGCTTGACATGTTTGCCCATGTCTGCAAACATGTGCTCTCCTTTTGCCCTTTACCTCGCCCTGCAATTATTACCATGTCCTTGGTTATTAAAGCAGAGGAGTGGGAAGTAGTCAGGGAAGCAGTGGGAGGGGAAACGACTGGACAAGCTTTTGATGAGTTCTCTGAGATAAATATGTTGGGGGGGATTTGGCGGCGGAATTAAAATGTCAGAGCATGCTAAGCTGCTATTCATGCAGAAAAAAAATAAAAAATTAAACAGGAGATAGAGAGAGAGAGAGCAAATAATAATGAGAAGCTCCACAGACAAGTGGACTCTCGTGGTCCTCTGGCATGGCGGTCATGTTGCTGATCCATCAGGGATTGGCAGGCGGCGGCGGCGGACGTGCGCACACTCATGCTGGTACTTCACAGACTTCGACCCACTGGCATTCTGTTTTACAGCGCTGTGAAAATGCCACTGTGGCCCTGCGGTAAAAAAGCGCAATGACAACCTGCATGTAACAATACTAGTACACGCAGCATTTTAAACACTCCGGCTGTGTGTGTTTTGTTCTTGGCAGGATGTGAGTATCACCGAGATGGGGTGAAGCCACGAATGTGTATCGTCGCCGACAGTTTACTAAAGATGATATGAATCTGTTAAATAACACCAAATGCACTTATCAAAGCTGTCAGTGTTTGGTTGCCAAGGCCCAGATTGGTCAGATCGCTGATATGTGCACAGTGTAGCAGAAATACGGAAGTGGAAAACTGTGATTCTGCTTTGGAATGTGATTGTTAAGATCTTTGGTACAAAGTGCTCATTTCTGGGATGTGTTTTTGCACTCCACTTCTGCGAGATCACCTGTCAATCAAAGAGTGTGGCCAGCGCCTTTTTAAAAAAAAAAAAAAAAAAAGTAGATTAATCTCCTGTTCGCTGTGGCTATTTCTGCTAATGCTAACTACTGCAGCAGATTTCTCCCTGGAAAGAGCGAGCTGACACTCTGTGTTCATAAGAGCAAATTAAGCAAATGTGAAAGCTTTCATAAACCAGAGTTGGAATCACTGTTGTGCTATAACAATTAACAATAGAGAGCAGCAAAGTGGGAATTTATTAAAATGAAAACACTGCAAACCGTTGCTTGAAATTGATGTTTTGGTGCTGCAGGGATCCATGTTATTATCTTTCTATTTTTTATTCTTTTTTTGCTTTGTTGTTTTCACCACACAGCTTCATTCAGATTCAGACCGAGGAGATGGAAGTGTGAGGTACGTCCTCAACGGGGAGGGGGCGGGGACCCTCTTCAAGATAGACGAGAAGTCGGGGGACATCCACGCCACCAAGAGGCTGGACAGGGAGGAGAAGGCCTACTACATCCTTCACGCCAAAGCTGTCAATCGCTTCACCAACGAGGCGCTGGAGGGCGAGTCCGAGTTCATCATCAAGATCCACGACATCAACGACAACGAGCCGCGATTCACCAAGGACCCGTACATGGCCCGAGTCCCTGAAATGTCCGACATCGGTGAGTTCTCGCTGTAAATATATGTCATGATTGTTGCTGCTACAGTTTTCGTTTCACTTGTTTTTGACTGATGCTCACCAATGGAACAGTGGTTATTGTAATTGCACCAATATCGATTTGATTGAGTATAAAAGTTCATCACTTACTTGTTTTCAGAGGCCTCTCATGGTCTTCATCAGAAGAGGCTCCATCCATCTGCTGCTACTTTTACTTTTTCACAGCACAACAGATCAGTATTACTCCTGCATTGTTACTTTAGCATTATTTAGCTTCTTTGCTCAATGAATATTTTTATTGTCATTTATAGTGACTTTTGTATAAACCTTTTTAATTAGCTTTCTTGGCTAAGTAGCTGATTTTACATTTTAGTTTTTTTCTTGATCAGTGGGTGTTGTCCTCATACAGTAAAAGGAAATCTAACAAACCAACAAATTTAAGAAGTTGGACAACATTGTTTAAAGAGCAACTTACTACTGGTCATTCACCAGTCTGTCCAGTTCTCCGCTGGTTGTCCTGAGCTCGTTTTCTTGCCACTGGAGAATCTTTCTCCTCATTCTTAACTGGACTGTCCATCACTATGTATAAATGAAAAGGTATTTTCAACCTCGTCGGTGTCAAAGTCAAGCTTTGGAATCCATGTTTACTATTGTTCAACTTCACCTAGCGTGGCAACTCCCCATTACATGTAATTTCTCTGTTTTGAGACATAAAAACTGTCTTACAGTAATTTTTATTTTATTTTCAACCCCCCCCCCATCCTGACTGACTAGGCCCTTGTAGCCTCACAGTCGTCCTCATCCCTGAGATTTCTCTGCCAGATTTCTCTGGGAAATTCAAGCGTGAAAAGTTTAAACAGACAATAAACAACTCAATAAATAACAATAAGAGAATAAAAATAAACAATAAAACAAGAAATAATAACTAAATAAGAAAATAATTGTCACCAGTTTTTGGAGTTTGTACAGCAAATTGTATTCATCATGTAAAACCAGATGTATTGATCTAAAACAGACAATAATTAAGTGTTAACACAAATTAAAGTGTGTGTGTGTGTGTGTGTGCGAGGAGCTGGATTAAAAGGCTTATGATTCACATAGGATAGAGACACCAGTCTTACTGGATCAATGGGACTTTATCAATCATAATAATGATGCCGACTCAACAAAGAGGGCCCGACTAATTAAATGAGAAAAGACCGAGAGCTGTTTTCTGACCAGAGAATAAACAAGGTAAAGCGTCTGTGTGAGGGTTACAGCGCTGGTCCAGATAATCTTTTAAATACAGTATTGTATCTTATTAAAACAGTATTTAATTTAATTACCAGCATTGTCAGCTGTGTCATCACAGTGAATAATTGTGGATTCTATTTCTGGAGTGCCAGATTCTGAGACAGCACCATTTGCTGTTTTCGTATTATCATTTGTTCTTGTCATTCAGCAGCAAATTAAACTTTAATTCACCATGCACTCGGGTTCTCGCTCCTCTCGTCCAAAAGTACATACTGGCCTCATGAATATAGATAAACAATATAAAAAGGCTCCTAATCAATACTTGCATGAAAACATGAAGTGAACTCTCTGTTCTGCTGCTGCTGCTGCTGCTGCGGCTGCGGCTTCTGCGATGCTTCGGGGACTGAGGGACATCGGTCTTGCAGCCCCGACATGTGACAGAGTCGTCACTTGGTTCAGCAACCCCATGAGAGAGGCCGGCACTTATCTAAGGGCAGCACGGGTGCCCATGGCAACAACCGAGGTGTGATGTCACTGCTTGGCAGAGCATGTGTTCACGAGTGACTGCGTCGAGACACTGCCCCTTTAAATGTGACATACACTTTGAGTTTTATTATAGTCTCACGGCTGTGACATTCCTCTCTCGGACTCTCAGTCAGGGACGACGTTGACGCGCCCCTCCTTTGACAACTGAATGATTACAGTCAAGGTAATTTACCCCGCCTGCACAAAAACTGTGATTATTCCTGACTTGTTTGTCAGAAAATTCTTCTCTCAAAAGCTTAAAGTCGGCGATGAGATGGCTGATGTGGATCAGTGATATTTTCTAAAAGCCGCCATGTCAGAAAAGCCTCTTTGAGTCTAATTCCCTAGTTAAAGGTATTAGTGATCAAGGTTCGGTGAACTTGCTCAGGAATCCTTCCGAACTGTCACTTACACCAAATCAGACAGCCGTGGTCTTCCTCTCTCTCTGCCTTTTTTTTTTTTATTTCTACAGCATCCTTCATCCATACAAATGACATTGATTTTAAAAGAAGGAAACTCTCCTCTCATCCTCTCAGATCTCGACTGACATCAAATTAGTGAAGTTTCATGAGGTCGTTATCCCATTGTATTGCACAATTCTATATTTATACCACTTTGCCATTAAATATTTCTACTCAATTAATTTTCTTCTGCATGTAATGAGGCAACACTTGGCCCTGCAAGGCGCCATTTGGGAGGTAGCACTTGGCTAACCGCTTCCCTTTGTTCTGCTGAAATAGGGCCTCAGCCTCTCTGGAAGAGAAAATGGATCACAGTCATTCGCCTGCTATCAGATATTTGGCTTCTTAGACAATCCAGATATGTGGATGCACTAATAGGCTTCTTGGGGTTTGCAAAGAGCTGGTATTGGTGCCGCTTGTATGCTTAGAGAGATATACTTAGAAAAATACATTAAGACTTATCGATTACCCGCGAAAATCAATCATGTATAAGGGTATAAGTGCCCGAGGAATAAAGATTGGTTTGGGTAATGCAAAGGGACAGAAATGATCAGTCACATTCTGCATGAGCATGATTAGAAGAGGATCCGACACCTCATCAGAAGGTGCATCAGCTTAACCAATTATCCAGCAGGCAATTTTCAGCAGTATTGAAGAGTTGATCTAAATCATTGTCATGAATCTTCTCCACCCACCCCCACCCCCCAACCTCCCTCCCTCCCCCAGGCACCTCTGTAATTCAGGTGACAGCCACAGACGCAGACGACGCCACGTACGGGAACAGCGCCAGGGTGGTGTACAGCATCCTGGAGGGCCAGCCGTACTTCTCCGTGGACCCAGACACCGGTCAGTATCGAATTAAATGTGAAACCCACCCCGGGGATACTCTTGCAGAGTAGTTGAATATACAGCTGTGGTGGTGTACTTTGTATTCCTGCCTCCGTTTTGTTGGGTTTTTTTTGTTTGTTTTTTTTTCTTTCAAACGTAATGTGACGTCATTTCTGTGTTTAATTGAGTCCTAAAAAACAATTTTCTGAAAAGAATCTGACATTATCTAAACTTGTGTCCAGGAATGGAAATGATTGCCTGTATCCCGAAGAAACAACAACTACAAAAGAAAAAAAACCCAGAAAACCCAATATTGAAAAGACTGCTATTTACTGACCAATGTGCACAAGTCCTCAGCCCTCCTTCAGTGGAAAAGCTCTTATCCTCCTGCTCTAACAATGCTACTTCCATCGCACTCTCCACCTACATATGTAACCTGCAGCTTGAATGTAACAAGTTTACACCCTTTGTCTGGAGGTGGGCATTCTGGGAAACCATAACAAATCACAAACTGAAGCCTAAATGGAGAAGGCAAGCTGAGCTTTACCAGGAAAGTAAATTAAAACAGTTTATCACAGAATAACTCCTGGAATGCAGGAACTTTTCCTCTAACCGGTCCAAAAATACACAACACGTCAGCCTCATCTCGCAGGCTTGACGGGCGAGGGGGGATTTATAGTAGAGAGTGGCAAATCACCAACCCCAAAATCTAACCGCTTGCTAGTTTTAATCATTAATGTGCGCTTTGGAACACATCCCGCTCGTGTCTTTTTTTCTTTTTTTTTTTTGCTTAAACAAAAGGGAAAAAAAAAAAAAAAAAAAAAAAAAAAAAAAGCCATTTGCAGATTAGCGGAGGGATTAACAGTAATATGGTTTATCCCACATGTGGTATGTAAGCTGACATCCCCTCTTACACAAAGACATGCCTGGACATCACATTATAAGCAGGATTTGTTTCCCCTCTCCTCCTCCGTGTGTGTGTGTGTATTGTAGTCATTAAGCAATAACAAAGGTAGACAGAGATATAGAGCGAGCGTGATGCCGTTTTCTGAAGCTGCTATACGTTTTGCTTCCTTTCCTGCGACGCCGCCGCAACGATCGCTGCTCTCTTAACAGTGTGTTGTCCGTGAGATATATTGCACATCGTAAGTGGGAGGGGGGGTAGGGAGCTGCATTGTGCCTGCTTTTCCTTCTTGTCATGTTATGTATGGGAGGAAGAATAGAAGAAGTTGCAGGGCCCTTTTGAACAGTGTAGGCCAGTGTGATCTGAGGCTGAGTGATGTGCCACGTCAGCCTCTCCCTCTTCCTTGTTGTTTGATATGCAATGAATCATCTATTCAGGCTGAAAGTGGTGAAGTTTGTCAAAGCAGTTTATTTAGGGTGAAAACATTTTTTCACCTTTATTCTCCCACTCCATTTCTGTCTCTATCTCTCTCTCTCTATCTCTCTCTCTATCCCCCCTCCACCTGCCTCTCTTTTTATGAAGCTTCAATTTCAAACGTGTAATAGCAGACAGGATTTAAGACCGGCTCTGATGGGAGATGGAGCACACCTTTTGAATATGCTGCCAATTACCGCTTCACTCGGTCTCTGTCCTGACTCCAAACTAGAGATCTAACGTGTCAGAGCGGAGAAGTAAGCAACTGCACGGCACTTGAAAGGCTGAACATTAACAGAGTCTTAATTCCAAAGAGGAGATAAATGATGCGGAATACATTTGGAGGCGAACGCTACACTCGGAAAATTAAAGGAATACGCTGTGGTTTTGGTTAGGGCCGGCCCTTTGGTCCACTTACCAGATAAATCATGAGAACACAGACACCAAAATGTGCTCCTGGGTGGCCACTGAGCTCCATGCTGCCGCGCATACTGAGCAAGAGCACTGACCTTTCAGTAATAAAATGTTCTTAGTGGTTTAATTATCTGGCCTGTAGATGCATAAATCAAAAAAATGAAACATCATTAATTCAATACAGCTGATGCAAAATCTTTCAGGTGAGCATAGGGATTTTTTTTAAATTTTTTTATTAGATATATGCACTCCACCTGTGGAAACAGTCCATTAGTTTTATGTCATATGGAGGGTTGATTTTTATGAAGGTTGTACACAAACCTGTCAGTCTGGCATGGTTTAAAAACGACCCACTACTGAGCTAAAGAGTCATCACTCATATGGGCTAACAATTAATTTCATTATCTGTGAATCCTCTGACGATCGTTTTCATGAATTAGTGGAAATTTCAGTCTAAAAAAAGCCAGATAGTAGTAACAAATGTCCATCACAGTTTCTCAGACTCAAAGTAAATGTTTTGTTTTGTCCAAAACCTAAAAATATTCAGTTTAAGATTATATAGCTTATACAAACAGAGAAAAGCAGCAAATATTCACAATGGAGAAGTGTTAATTAAGGATGTTGGGGTGTTTTTTTGTCTCGGAAAATGACTTGAATTATTCATTTATTATCAAAATCTGTGGAATTTATTTTTCATCTAAAGAATCAACTAATTGTTTCATCTCCACACTGTTTATTGGTTTAATGTTAACACTTTGACATAAACAGTTCGTACTGTTTACTGGTTCATTGTTCATACTGGGCATACATGCATCATCATTTACACTCCCTTTGCTTCTGTTTGCAGTAGATAAATTATAATAAGTTGTTGTAGTGATAACAAGACATATTTGCAGTAACGAAACATAAACTAATGTAATCAAAGGTAATGTTGAGATGCTGCACCCAATATTATGTGCTTATGTTGGAGTTAGAATGCTATATAAGCTATTATATAGCTTCACATATTGGATAACAAAAGATCATCGGTTTGTATTTTTTTATCGATTTCAATAGAAAAATACCCTGATTGTTGAAAAGCAGCAGGTTTAAACTGGTAGTCGCTTGTATTTTATGTTCCCACACATCCAAAAGTTCATGTTTGCTGCTCCAAAACGACACCGGTGACCACAGCTGAAGGGTCAACGAGGTCATAAGGTCCTCTTGTGTTGAGCACTCCTCAGAAAATGCTTTCAGTTGTAGAGAGTGGAGAGTAAAATGGACAAATGAGCTGCTGATTATGCACCAGAGTCCCTATAAATACAGAAAATAAGTGGTTAAGAGTTTTGTGCTGCAAATGGGATTTTCTCCAAGATTTTTATGTGTGGTCGTTTGTTTTTGTTTCCCAGATTTTCACCAGTTTGCAAAACAAACACTGATGGGGCTCATTCTTTAATACAAAAAAAATAAATAAAATGAAACCCCTCCTTTAAGTCTAGCCTTTTATCTAAATAAACTTGACTTGATTGGATGGATGGATTTTACAATCGATTCTCTCTGTAAATATTTTCTCCTCAGGCCTGATCAAGACGGCCCTGCCTGGCATGGACAGAGAAGTCAAGGAAAACTACCAGGTTGTGATCCAGGCGAAAGACATGGCCGGACAGATGGGCGGCCTCTCAGGAACCACTACGGTCAGCATCACCCTCTCCGACGTGAACGACAACCCGCCGCGCTTCACCAAGAGTGAGTCCAGCCTCCTGGAAACAGCTCACACACTCACACACGGAGTGACCAATCCTCAGCCTGTGAAAACCACTTGTCAGTTGTGAGCCGGTGCCAGGCAGGCAGCCCCCATCTGGTGTCAGTTTCAGAATGAATTTGGATTATTGCAGGGAGCTCTGGGTTTTGTGCCACTGAGGCAGGCCTCTTAAAGGCAGTGAATAATTAAATATAGAGCCATATGACAGAGCGAAGGGTCCTGCAAAGTGCATCAGATCATCCCTGTAATCCCTATTAAATAAAGAGAGTACATTCACTGGGTTTTATCTCTCCTACTCCTCCTCTCTCTTTGTCTATCTTCTGCTATTAAGTCTTTCTTCTGCTGCCTTTTACTCCATAAAACCAATGTTCTCAATTTAGTGCTCCAACTGTCCTTGGTGCATTTTTTTCCCCCACTTTTTTGTTACCCTCTCGCTCATCAATCATCAATCCTTCCTTTCTACTCCCTACTCTCTTTCAGTCTCACACATTGTCTGCCTTTCCTCTCTCACCAACCCCACCCCCACCTTCCCCTCCCTTCCATCTCACTTCCTCCCTTGCACGTGGCAAACGGCGACGGCAGCCAGATCAGATTGACAGATTACTGGTGTCGTCGTGTCTCCCCTCAGTAACAGCAAGCGCCAACTGTACAGTGGGCGACGCGTGCGCACAGCCGCGAACTCAAGGCAAACACGCGACCGCAGAAACCCCCCCTCTCACCCTCCCACCGGCTTTGGTGGGGGATGGGAGGGGCGGGTGGTGGGGGACAGACGCTGTCATCTCAGCCTCACCGCCAATGAATGAACAGTGAGAGGAGGGAGGGAGATGGATACGACAGGGATGGAGGAGATGACAGGAGGGGAAGATAGAGGAAGAAAGAAGAAGAGTGAGGCAGACGACAGAGAGACAGCCTGTGATGGAAGGGGGGTGTTGGCAGCGTGGAGGGAGATTGAAAGAGGGAGAAAGAGAAAGAAATATTGTAATGGGACACCCAGAGGAGGTAGAGTGTCAGGAAGCGATATCATTGTTGTCTGCCGGAGTGATGCCTCTTCTTTTCCACCCAATGCTAAATACCTGTTAGCCTAGGGAAACCTTCTCCTGGTGTGTCACTTTCAGTGTGTTTGTGTGTGTGTGTGTGTTTGTGTGTGTGGAGGCAAAGTGTCAGCGTCACAGCGACCTGCCGACTCAGGCGTTGCCAAAACACTGTCAGCATGTTTTATTAGTGTGTCAGTGCTGTTTGTCTCCGCAGGCAGTGTGTATATCACACCCGCTCCCTCCTGCGGTCCAGCTATTTATTTAAGCATACGAGATGCAGCCGGGCGCCGGTGCGGCCGACAGGCAGCCATCAATTTATCTGCCTCAAACCAGGAAATCATCTCACAAAATAAAAAGGAAAAAAAAGAAGAAGAAGAAGAAGAAGCAATTAATTTATGTTGAGCAAATTGGCCCAGAATTTATGCTACATCCTAAACTTCCAAGTACTGAGTCAATACCGCTTGTAGCAACTTCTGTTAAAAGGCCAAATGTCTGTTTTGGAAATGAAATATGTTTTACCGCATATGAAATGTCTGCTCCACAGCTGATCTACAAATGTTGCAGCACTAAATCTCCCACTCGGCTTCTTCTTTTCACACACTCTCCTCTCCCCGGCTGGCTCTTATATTGCCGCTCTCTGATTGGCTCTGACTCACTCTCTTCCTGACCTGCTCTCTTGTATTCTCGCTCTGTGACTCACCCGCTCACAGTTTTTCTTTATTCACTAACGGGGTCATAAAAAGATGTTGAGGTTATGACGTTTGCTGGGTGTTCAGGGGTTGTGGTGTTTGTTTTTTGGCTGGTGTGTCCTTGTTGTTTTCTGTCTATTATCTCGAGGTGCATTTAAGGCCATTAATGCTTCTGGATTCATAAAATCTTTAATAGCATCGATGCGCCTTTTAAATTAATTGAATCTTTGTGTGGGAAAAAATGGAAATGGACATGAAAAGAAAAATCAAGGACACATAATTTTGGTTGTCATGGCCGTGCTCTCACACTAAGTGTCAGACTCGCTTTCAGTCCTGAGCCTTTCTTTCTCCAGCGTTTCACTTTTTTTTTTTTGTTGCCCTGATCGTGCAGTTCTTCTTTTCATGCGACCACCAAATCACACATTCAAATTGTGTCTCTGCAGCCCTCTATGAGTTCAGAGTGTCGGAGTCCACCGAGCTCGGGGGTGCAGTGGGGGTGATTCGAGCCATGGACGCTGACATCGGTGAGAACGCGGAAATGGACTACAGGATTATCGGGAGCGACGGGCCCGGCATGTTTGATATCGTCACCAATAGGAGCACCCAGGCGGGCGTCATCGTGCTGAGGAAGGTCAGGGACTCTCTGTTGCTAGGGAAGGGGGGGGGGGGTGTTAGGGGCCCAAGTGAGCAAAGGTTGTAGCTTCCACGGGTGGGGGGGGTGGTCATGTTGTCTTCTCTTTTCAAAATCCCCATTTTAACTGCTCCAAAAAAAAAAACCAAAAGAAAAAACACACACACACAAAAAACAAAATTCCAGAAAATGGCGATTGTCTTGTTTTGCAGACATATTTTTGACAAACGGTTCGTCAGAGCTGATCTCAGTGGCAAATACATCGTGTGTCCTGCGACTCCTTCACAATAAAACCCACACCGTATTCCACTGCAGCAGTAGAGAACATGGGGTTTGCATTAGCAGCGACTTGATGCAGCTGACCAGGTGTGAAGAAAGTCAAACAGTAAACTCTGGATCACATTTGGTTTCCTGCGAAATCCATCATGCATGAGAAGGTGCTCTGAATCCAGGCGGGAATGGCGGACCCCACCACTAACAGTGAAAGTCACTTTATTACAGAATGTGAATACAATGAATGGCTAGAAAACTGTTGACCGTGTGTAGTATCATCCACAGGGTTTGATTTCATGAACACCTGATATTATAAAATTAAAGGAAAGTGTCATTTTTGTATAAATAGATATTATCTATCATCACATTAGGTCTCCATCAATGAAACTCAGAGGGATTTTAAGTTTGGTCATGAAGTATTATGTGCTAGATTGATATAAATAAGTGCAGGGAGTAATGTTCACATAGTTTCAGTAATGGTTTTGCTTACCGTTGCTGTTCAAGGACCCTCGACTTAATTTTACTCCCTCAAAACAAATCTACTCACACTCCTCATACTGACAAAAACAAATCAACTCACACTTCACACTATGACAAAAAAAGGGTGCAACACCTGAGCTGCATTCGATTCGAAAACTTTTTTTTTTTATTTCCATACTCTGAGACAGCCAGAAGATGGACAGTAGAGTTATTAGATTTCAACTTACACTTGCTCACACTTCCACTACATGTGTTTTGAGTGAGATTCATTCTTCCTCTCAGCTGAGACCAAAGCAGAAATATTGATGCTCAGTATGGATCGCAGCATTCAGCGGTGTGCTGCGGTGTGTTTCTGATGTATTCAACAGAATCTGGCAGTTGCCTTATCAAGCGCCCTCTCTGCAGCCTTAGATCGATCGCTTCCATCATGCCATCATTAAGTGGAAGATGACATAATTGCCTTTTGTAGCCGTGGAGGTGCTGTAGTGGATGCGGTGTGTGGGCAGAGTGTGTGTAGGGAGGGAGTATGCCCTAATTCTGAACCTTCTAATTAAATGGGCTTGTCAAGTGGGAGTGTGTCCCATCTCCGCACGCACCGGCCCTGCAAAGAAACATATTCCTCCCGTTGACGTGCACACACCCCCCCCCCTTGCCTTAACAGGTAACAGCAGAAATCAATGACTCATATTATGTTATTATTCATGGCTTCAGAAAATGGTTTGTTCCATCTGGATCCTTCAAGCTTTCATGGGCTGTTTCCAACGATCACGGACCCGCCGTCCTTTCATATGTACAGTAGGCTCGCTCTGATCTGGCTGCTCCTGCTCAGCACGGGGCGCACAGTCATTAAAATACACCGCTCTCCAATTATTTCCATCAATAGGCGGATACCTTCAGTGGCTACAACTTAAAAAACAGTTCAGAAAGGGAACATAAAAGTAAAAACAGACCGCTAAAATGTGCAACGACAGAAAACTTCAGCAGTCATGCAGGAATCAGGCTACTAATCATCTTGCACTGTCCATAAATTATAGGAGGGGGAACATACATAAAGGGCAACAAAGCTGCTTCCTTTTAGGCAAACAAATGGATAAAATGAAAGCCTGTACACCAACAGAACATTAAACGTGTGTGTACAATACCAGCGTTAGTAAGTTCAAGATGCTTTATCACTATCATCCTTTCAATGTGAACAGAATAGTTAAAATATAAACATAGAAGTGGTGTACGTGTCCTTCAACAGAACACCATTTGAGATATTATTTTAATCTGTGTTTCAGTTCTTCAGTAATCTTTTCCTAATTATAATTATTAAAAGATGAAAACTAAAAATGTGCACAATGATGATACAACCTCACAAATGAAAATAAGAGATATTTTTCCCTGCACTACAATTTGTATTTTCCTTCATAGTCAGACTAGAAAAGCACTCAGAGTGCCGCCAAGGCCAATGTCAAACATCATACAACAGATTTCAGAGAAAAAAATTTCATAGCAAAAATAATAGTTAATGATCTTGATCTGGCCCAAAATGTAATGGGTTTGTCCCTGGCCTGTGCCCCATCCCTCCGCCAAGTTCGGCGCAAATCGGTTCGTTACTTTCTGTGTAATACTGCTGACGAATAAACACACACGGGTAAAAACACAACCTCCTTGGCAGAGGTAATGAAACACCACACCGAACAGCAATATTGTCTCTGTTGCGTGTAAGACTAATCTGCAGTACTGATCTCTTCATTTAACAAAAAAGAAAAGAAAAGAAAAAAAAAAACACTGAAATGAACAGATGTCGCCCAGCAAACATGGAGAGACAACTTTGATTTATTGTTTCATAGAGTGTGGAAGGGATCAGGAAATCAAGCTGAAAAGCACAAACATCAAATGAGTTGATTGAAAGTGTGGCAAGTATTTGTCTGCATAAAGAAGAAGAAACAAAACCTGTATATCTTCTATATTAAACTGCACTAGAAACATAAAGTTTATATGCTATATTGTTAAAACACCAACCAATCAGATTTCTTGTCTTAAAATGCCAACGAGTCTTGTTCTTTGTAAATGAACCAGGCCGTGTTCTTGTTATATTCCACCGAAATGCCACATCAGTCACATTATTCAGGCTGTGCTGGCAGTTAGAGAGCGGCCTTTCCATGCCCACAAGAGCACAGGTCTGATCATGTGCATCTGCTCATGTGTGTCCACCTTGAACAAGACACTGAGCCCCGTCACAGGCGCTCATTAGAAGATGCTCTGGAAAAAGATTGTCAGTTTAATGAATGAAATCCCAATCTGACCTGAAGTTAAATGTGGCGGGATGCCATGAATGGAGATTAGTTTTCCCGAAAATCAACAGCTGAACGTGCTGCCGCATACAAATGAATGTTTAAAAGTAAATATTAAAGGACAAACACTATGATTAAAGCAAAAACTAACAAAACATCACAGGAGAAAACAAAGAAGCCTGTAAAGTTACAGTATGTCAAACATCCTCTCTCTGTTTCGCAGCCTCTGGACTTTGAGAGGAAGCGCCAGTACAGTCTCCGCGTTCAGGTGGAGAACGTCCACATCAACCCTCGCTTCTTCTCCATGGGCCCGTTCAGGGACGAGGCCACCATCAAGATCATCGTGGAGGACATGGACGAGCCGCCGGTGTTCGAGCGCGCCAGCTACGTGATGGAGGTCAAAGAGGACGCAGCCAGGAACACCGTCATCGGCTCCGTCAGCGCGATGGATCCTGACGACAAAAAAAGTCTCGTCAGGTACTGAAATACCACCAATTCCACTTCTGAATGTTTTAGTCCAAAAAGTCATATATTCTTCACTTTTCAGCGAACCTTTTAGCAACCTACCCTCCATTCATTCCTGTTAGTTGCTCCAAAAAAGAATGAGTCAAATTCCACTTACTAGCTCGGAAAAATCAATTAAAAACTAATAACTGTACGGTATCTAGAATATGCAAAAAATATTGTGTATGAGCGTTCTAAGAGTAGTAATACTTATGTACAACAGTTATGTATCTTAACTTTCCATATTCATGCCATGCAGGAACTTCCAGTAAGTGAATTATTTCAACGAAACTTTGATGTGAAATATGGTTAAAAGCTCTGGAGGCAGTAAATGGACCATATGCATTATGATGCATTATGAAGCCTTGGAAGAGAGACACATCATTATATTAGACAAAATGCTACTAAATACTGAAATGTGACAAAAGTTCACTTACACAACCCAGTTCATTGGGATACAAAATTACCCAAGTATTCTATTAAATGGGAGTCATGGCAGTGAGGTGTGAGGCTGCGCCTTCGACTCTGTCTCAAAGACTTTTTCATTTTTATGATGCACTAAGGGAGCTGGCTCTCAAGGTTGAAGTTCCACCACTTTATTGCAGGTGTCAAATATGATATCATTCTCTTTTATCGCCCATCATCAAGCAGGTAGCTACCCCGTGGCATTTAGAGCCGCGCAGTGGAGAAGGAGGAGCGCCGGGAAGCCTGAGGGCTGCCTGGCATGAGGAAGTCACAGAGACGGTTATCTTTATTAGCTCGCATGGCTGGCCCACCACACACGCGCACCGTTCAGGCCTGGATGCATACACACAAGTTCCTCCGTCGGCGAGGATGAACATGCACATATGCACATAGGCACCACGCTCGAACATAAAGGTTTAGCTGATACATCAGGGTCATAATGAACTGTTTTACGTCAGATGTTAGATCGTCAAAGGGATGCGATGTGTGAGGAAGTTAACGCCTGATTTTCAAGGTGGTGAAATTTGAAATTGTTGGATAAAAAAGGTTTTGTTCTCCTTTCACACATTCAAACATGTCATTTCTTTTCAACTCACTAGTCAATCCCACAGTTTTCCCGCTGTAGGCATGATGGGTCACGCTGTTTTAAAAAGCTGCCAACTCTTTTATTAGAATTTTATTAGTCCTCCTTTCAATAAAGCCTTTTAATGCCGCAATTCTCTAAATGCTGTTTCCAGTCTGCAGCTTACCGAGGGGCGAACTCAGGAAATAAACACTAAAAACCTTTTAATAGTTTGGCATGAAAATGAACAAGCTATAGACTGAATATTCATTGGAAATATCATCTATCCTCCAGTTTAAAAATACCAACTCACACACAGACAGAAGCCTGGTTCTGATAACTAGAGGCTGAACTGGGCTGAATTTGATTGTATTCTTAACTTTGCTAACAACAGTTTCACCTCAACATCCATTTAGTAACTATTCTGGAGCTTGATCAATGATCGGTTCAACAGTTGTCCATGTGGGCCAACACGGACAGAAAGTCCTTTGAGAAAATGCCATGAAAAAACTGAAATTTGAACATCAACAAATGGCAAATTCTACCTGCTGATGAAGATCATTTGCTGATAAGATCAAAAGTTCCTGGAGAGGTACTAAAATGACCTTGAGCATTGTTTTGTAAACTGAGTTTTTTAGTCATCTAGGTTCTATATAACTGCTTTTCAACAGATGATATTTCATGGTGTAGTTAGGACCTACTTTGCATTGAAATGAAGAACTCCCGCGACAATAAATCGATCAATCAGAGTATATATTTTTGATAAAATTGAATCAATATGACCCATTTTTGTTTGAAAAATGATTTTAAACTTTTCAGTTTTTGTTGTTTGCTGAACTTGGTTGGAGAAAAGAATCTTTTAGGATAAACAATTCATTTATATGACGGATATATATCGGTCATAAAGGTTTGGTGCTAAAATAAAATGTAACTGGTGTTGAACCAACAGTTCCATGTAACTTAGACATCTTTAAAAAACTTTCCTCTAAGTTTAGCCCAGGTGGAACTACATACCTTTTCACCTGCACATCCCGAAATACTGGACACCCAGTGACTCTTGTTCTCAGAGCATGCCTTATGAAAATACTGTGGTGAGCCAGCCGGTCATGTAGCTTCTGTAGAGAGGAAAGAGGAAATATGTCCCAACACGCTGATCACTAACATTTCTGTAACCCTCCGTGTCCTTCCGCCTGGCCTCCCATCCAGCCAGCTGCCTGCCTGCTGAGAGCAGCACTTTGGATGCCCGGTCAGGACGAGGTGCGCTGTTATCTCTCTGTCATTAATCAGGGGAAGGGTTAGGGCCCAGCCAGCTGAATTATTGGGAATATTAGAAAAGCAATTAGTAAAGCCCACGGCCGACGGAGATTTAACGAGGTTAGAGTTACTGTCGGTGCGGGCTAGGTGGTAGGAGTGGAGGAGAGGGGCGGGCAGAGACGAGGAGGGAATGTTTAGATAAAGACACTAAAATGGTTGATGCAGGAGAAGCGGCGGGGAGGGGCTGAGGGGGTTGGGGATGGGGGGTGGATCTGCGGAGAGAGGACAGCGGTGCGATGGTGCATTGAGAGCCCCGGTTCATAGTCTCCCCTCGGGGGTCTCCTTCCTCTTACGCTGACCCTCCTGATGCCTGCTACTCCATTAATCACACTGATGTATCGCAGTAGTCTGGGAAGCAGAGAAAAACAACACGACTGGATAACCTGTTGGCTCGTGTGTGTGTGTGTGACTGCGAACACTTACATAAATGTGTCATCACCAAAGGACAGACTGTTGGTGCCAGAGAGGACTGTATGCAATATATGTTAAAGGGTCAGTTCACCCAAATCACATTGTTTAAGGTCTTGTAGATTGGGTTTTGTGCCCCTTGATATTAATTCTTGTGGCATTACTGTTCCACCAGATTACTGGAAATATTAAACCTTTACATTTATAAGGTTGTCGCAGTTGGCTCCAATGTTTTACACGTGACAATTTACACGGGGGGATATGCTTAAGTCGAAATAGAAAAGCGACGGAATCCATTTTGATCAGCCATGTTGATCTAGCTCGACGCATCGCTGGCTCAGCTTTGCCACTTATACATTTAAATTCTGTGTGAAATTCTTTGGGAGACAATGGGCTGTTAATTTTGAGAATTTCACTGTGTTTTGAAAATGGTGATTTTCACTCGAGGGTTGAGCCAAAGCAGTTGAGAAAATCTGTAAAAGGAGAGACGCCAGCGCCCAGGTTTCAGTGGCTCAAAAGCAACTTGTCCTCAAGAAACCTGTGAGAATTATCCACAGTTAAAAGGACATTGTTTCTGTTACAATGGGTATTAAATTTGTAACATGTTTACATATTACATACAACATTTTTCAGTTTTTCCTAATTGTAATTGTAACATATTAAACCTGAAAATATCTCTATGGTTTATAAAACCAAAGGGTAATTGAGAAAATCAGTTTTTTTGTGATTTGTGGAAACTGACTCTGTACACAGTGTTTAGAGGCTGTTCATTAACTCTGTAGTTCAGCTCGTCTGCGCAGGTGAAAACCAATTCTGTTCTATTTGACGAAGCCATCGTTTCTTCTGAAGGCAAACCGCTGCCTGGATACAATAACCTATTGGACTGATACTAAAATTCACCCTTTTCTTAATGCATTCTTGAGTGGGATGAATAACAAAGAAAGGAAATAATGGCAGAGTGCAGACAAATCCATCATGCTTGTTTTGAGTACCCCCTGCCTGCTGGAACCCCTCTAACCACACAGAATGTCAACCGAGACATGGCAGTAAATGTGACCATTTCCTCTCAGGTTCACACCTGAGAAACTGTAAATGCGACTGTACCCTGTACCCCTCACCCAGGGAACACAACACACTTCCACACAGCCTCAGTGCACAAGTTTAGAAGTGAATCCCTGTGTGTGTGTGTGTGTGTGTGTGTGTGTGTTTGTGTGTGTGTGTGTGTGTTTTGTGCAGGTACTCTATTGATCGGCGCACAGACATGGACAGAGTGTTCAACGTCCATGCAGGCAACGGGTCAGTGTTCATCCTCAGGGAGCTTGACAGAGAAGAGAACGCCTGGCACAACATCTCCGTCATCGCCACAGAGTTCAGTAAGTCCAGCAGGATGGAAAGCACACATATCCACTCACCCACCTCCTCTTACTCTGCCAGCCAAATTGGATTTTTGGAATAGATACTAACCTCTGAATGTTGTGTGGTGTTGTGCGGCTTGTAGAGTATTAGAAGCAGACACTTCCAGTTCACCCAGTTTTGGCTGGTAGCTGGTGTTTGTTCCCTGAGTACATTCACACTCTCAAAAAGTGGCAGCAGCCCCTTTTTATTTTTAACTGGAGAAGGAACCAGGCCTATTGAAAACTTCTAAAGCTCATATTAGAAACTTGCATTTGCTCCAAATTTTCCTAGTTTGAAAAGTACATTTTTTTATATTGCACCAAACTTTTTTGTTGTTTTCCAATTTACTTTCTCTCTAATTTTCTCTAATAATTTCCATTTTTAAAGGATCAATTTCATCTGTAAAACTACAGTCAGACCAAATCCTTCTCTCATAACAAACATTAGGTGTAAAGCTTCTGTCAACACTTCCTTCAGGGAAGTTTCACATTAAAAGCCTTCTAGAGGCTCAAAGACTACAGTCCCTCACTTTTTTTGTTGGCTGTGAAACATTTGCAGAAAATGACGAGTCTCATTAACAGTAGCTTAACAGCAAAAAAAAAGAAAGAAAGAGGAAACTTGGAGCATAACATCACTTTGTTGTTCTTGTGCTTTGGAAATACACTACAGTAAATGTATAATGTGAGTCATTATAACACAGGTTTTTACCTGTCCTTTATTTATTCATGCTGAATAATGAAATAATGAATTAATGAATTTGAATAAAGGCTTTTGGTCGCCTTGATTTGTTTTAATGAATCCCCAAAATGAAATCTGAGTAATCAAGTGTCATACAGATGTGTCAGGCAAAGGAAATTACATTGTGTACACGCAGAGACTAATTAAGACCTTAATTTGATTCCTTTGAGATCTTTACTATACATATCTATATATAGTAATTTAACATTTTCTTTTTCATGTCAGATATCATTTAATTGCTTCAGAACAAAGGCAAAAGCCACACCCACACACACTGTACATGTATTATGGTAAAATTATATAAAGAAATAATTATTAGTGGAAATTCAGTGTATCTATCTTTGTGTTTCCTAGACAACCCGCGACTGTTCAGCCGCGTGCCTGTTTACATCAGAGTGCTGGACGTCAATGACAACGCTCCAACATTTGCCACCAATTACGAGACGTTTGTATGTGAGAACGCGAAGGCTAATCAGGTTGGTATGATAACAAAAAGCAGTAGTCATGGTTTCATCTTTTTATTTCCTCCATTGCAGCGTGTAATTAGCATTCCTCAGAGAGAATTTGTACATATAAGAAGTATAAGTATATAAGAAGTACTAAATGGGTAGGATAACTAATGCATCTGGAAATTTTTTTTTTTTTTTGTGCATAACCTCACCTCTCAGGTGTGGAAATAGTTTTCAGAACACTTTCGACCTCCACTTATGCCTAAGATTAAAGAAGTCAAGAGCACATCCACAGTCAAAGAGATGTCAAGAGGTTCAAAAAGAGGCTGCTGCATTATATACTATTTACTGTAACACTCAAACACAACATCACCATCTTACAGTTGACGTTTCAGTTGTACTCCTGCCATTTCTCCTGAGATGAACAACCCAAAATGCTGTGACACGAGATGTAAACTCTGACACCAAGTCTTCCGCTTCAGTATCACTTGTAAATTCCACCACATTTTTTGTGTTCACACTCAGATCCAGATCTCAAACCAGGGCTTGACTTCTTATTTGTTGGCTTGTACTCTCGAGTATTCAAAGAAAATAAAAAAAAGAAGTCTATTCACAATTTAGTGTTATCTTGTAGATGCTGGACTTCGGCTACAGTGGTGGAAAATCGTACTCAGTATCGCTGCCAATTTGTAAACAAAATGTTGTTACAGCCAAGTGCGTAGGTTTGGTCTCAACAGTGGTAGGGACGCAACAACCCCGCAACCCCTCCAAAATAAGAGATTGGCTTTTTAATGCCGTTAACCAACTGGTTTATTACCATATAGATCTTATTTACATTCAGGAATACCCATACGAAAATGAAATATATGTACATGTATGGAATGTCTACCTAATGTCTACCTTTTATTCCTCACCACAGTATGCCGTTTTTATGCCTTACTATACTATGGCGTTTATTGTAATTTTTATGCCTCACTATACTATGGTGTTTTCATGCCTTACTATACTATGATGTTTTTATGCCTTATTATACTATGTCGTTTTTTGAAATTTTTATGCCTTAATATAGTATGACGTTTTTTGATAATTTTATTCCTTACTATACTATGGCGTTTATATGCCTCAATATACTATGGCATTTTTTGACCTTTTTATGTCTCACTATACTGTGACGTTTTTATACCTTATTATACTGTGACGTTTTTTTGACTTTTNGCCTCACTATACTATGGTGTTTTCATGCCTTACTATACTATGATGTTTTTATGCCTTATTATACTATGTCGTTTTTTGAAATTTTTATGCCTTAATATAGTATGACGTTTTTTGATAATTTTATTCCTTACTATACTATGGCGTTTATATGCCTCAATATACTATGGCATTTTTTGACCTTTTTATGTCTCACTATACTGTGACGTTTTTATACCTTATTATACTGTGACGTTTTTTTGACTTTTATGCCTTAATATATATAATATGGCTTTTTTTTTTTTTTTTACATCTTTATGCCTTACTATACTATGACGTTTTTTGACAATTTTATGCCTTACTATACTATGACGGTTTTTAATAATTTCATGCCTTACTATACTATGACGTTTTTTGACATTTTCATGCCTTACTATACTATGACGTTTTTTGACTTTTTTATGCCTTAATATAGTATGACGTTTTTTGAAATTTTTATACCTTACTATAGTATGACGTTTTTTGACTTTTTATGCCTTAATATACTATGGCGTTTATGCCTTAATATACTATGATGTTTTTTGATAATTTTTATGCCTTACTATACTATGACGTTTTTTGACATTTTTATGCCTTAATATACTGTGACTTTTTTTGATAATTTTATGCCTTACTATACTATGGCATTTTTTATGCCTTACTATAGTATGGTGTTTTTATGCCTTACTATACTATGTCGTTTTTTGACATTTTTATGCCTTAATATACTGTGACTTTTTTTGATAATTTTATGCCTTACTATACTATGGCGTTTTTATGCCTTAATATACTATGACATTTTTTGACATTTTTATGCCTTAATATACTGTGACTTTTTTTGATAATTTTATGCATTACTATACTATGGCATTTATGCCTTAATATACTATGATGTTTTTTGACATTTTTATGCCTTATTTATAATATGGTGTTTTTATAATTTACTATACTATGTCGTTTTTTGAAATTTTTATGCCTTACTATACTATGGTGTTTTCATGCCTTATTATACTATGACGTTTTTTGACAGTTTTATTCGTTAATGTACTGTGACTTTTTTTGATAATTTTATGCCTTACTATACAATGGCGTTTTTATGCCTTAATATACCATGCCATTTTTTGACATTTTCATGCCTTACTATACTATGACGGTTTTTAATAATTTCATGCCTTGTAATACTATGGCGTTTTTATCCCTTACTATACTATGACGTTTTTTGACTTTTTTATGCCTTAATATACTATGACGTTTTTCGACATTTTTATGCTTTACTATACTATGGCATTTTTTATGCCCTAATATACTATGACGTTTTTATGCCTCATTATACTATGACGTTTTTTGACATTTTTATGCCTTACTATACTATGGTGTTTTTTGACCCTTTTTATGCCTTACTATACTATGACGGTTTTTAATAATTTCATGCCTTACAATACTATGGCGTTTTTATACCTTACTATACTATGACGTTTTTTGACTTTTTTATGCCTTAATATAGTATGACGTTTTTTGAAATTTTTATACCTTACTATACTATGACGTTTTTTGACTTTTTATGCCTTAATATACTATGACGTTTTTTGACAGTTTTATGCCTTAATATACTATGGCGTTTATGCCTTAATATACTATGATGTTTTTTGATAATTTTTATGCCTTACTATACTATGACGTTTTTTGACATTTTTATGCTTTACTATACTATGGCATTTTTTATGCCCTAATATACTATGACGTTTTTATGCCTCATTATACTATGACGTTTTTTGACATTTTTATGCCTTACTATAGTATGGTGTTTTTATGCCTTACTATACTATGTCGTTTTTTCAAATTTTTATGCATTACTATACTATGGCATTTATGCCTTAATATACTATGACATTTTTTGACATTTTTATGCCTCATTTATAATATGGTGTTTTTATGCCTTACTATACTATGTCGTTTTTTGAAATTTTTATGCCTTACTATACTATGACATTTTTTGACATGTTTATGCCTTACTATAGTATGGTGTTTTTATGCCTTATTATACTACAACGTTTTTTGACAGTTTTATTCCTTAATATACTGTGACTTTTTTTGATAATTTTATGCCTTACTATACTATGACGTTTTTATGCCTTAATATACCATGGCATTTTTTTGCCTTTTTATGTCTCACTATACTATGGTGTTTCTATGCCTTACTATACTATGTCGTTTTTTGACATTTTCATGCCTTACTATACTATGACGGTTTTTAATAATTTCATGCCTAATAATACTATGGCGTTTTTATCCCTTACTATACTATGACGTTTTTTGACTTTTTTATGCCTTAATATACTATGACGTTTTTTGATAATATCATTCCTTACTATACTATGGTGTTTTTATGCCTTAATATACCTTGGCATTTTTTTACCTTTTTATGTCTCACTATACTATGCCGTTTTTATACCTTACTATACTATGTCGTTTTTTGACATTTTCATGCCTTACTATACTATGACGGTTTTTAATAATTTCATGCCTTACAATACTATGGCGTTTTTATCCCTTACTATACTATGACGTTTTTTGACTTTTTTATGCCTTAATATACTATGTCGTTTTTTGACAATTTTATGCCTTACTATACTATGGCGTTTTTATGCCTTATTATAGTATTAGGTTTTTTGACAGTTTTATTCCTTAATATACTGTGACTTTTTTTGATAATATCATTCCTTACTATACAATGGCGTTTTTATGCCTTAATATACCATGGCATTTTTTTACCTTTTTAGGTCTAATATACTGTGACTTTTTTTGATAATATCATTCCTTACTATACAATGGCGTTTTTATGCCTTAATATACCATGGCATTTTTTTACCTTTTTATGTCTCACTATACTATGGCGTTTTTATGCCTTAATATACCATGTCGTTTTTTGACATTTTCATGCCTTACTATACTATGACGGTTTTTGACAATTTTATGCCTTATTATACTATGGCGTTTATGCCTTAATATACTGTGACGTTTTTTGACATTTTTATGCCTTATTTATAGTATGGTGTTTTTATAATTTACTATACTATGTCGTTTTTTGAAATTTTTATGCCTTACTATACTATGGTGTTTTCATGCCTTATTATACTATGACGTTTTTTGACAGTTTTATTCGTTAATGTACTGTGACTTTTTTTGATAATTTTATGCCTTACTATACAATGGCGTTTTTATGCCTTAATATACCATGGCATTTTTTTGCCTTTTTATGTCTCACTATACTATGGTGTTTCTATGCCTTACTATACTATGTCGTTTTTTGACATTTTCATGCCTTACTATACTATGACGGTTTTTAATAATTTCATGCCTAATAATACTATGGCGTTTTTATCCCTTACTATACTATGACGTTTTTTGACTTTTTTATGCCTTAATATACTATGACGTTTTTTGATAATATCATTCCTTACTATACTATGGTGTTTTTATGCCTTAATATACCTTGGCATTTTTTTACCTTTTTATGTCTCACTATACTATGCCGTTTTTATACCTTACTATACTATGACGTTTTTTGACTTTTTTATGCCTTAATATACTATGACGTTCTTTGACAGTTTTATGCCTTAATATACTATGACGTTTTTATGCCTCATTATACTATGACATTTTTTGACATTTTTATGCCTTACTATAGTATGGTGTTTTTATGCCTTACTATACTGTGTCTTTTTTTCAAATTTTTATGCCTTACTATACTATGGCATTTATGCCTTACTATACTATGACGTTTTTTGACATTTTTA